ATCATTTGGTCAGACTTCGTTTGCAGTCGAAGAGCCACAGCTCTGGAACATTTTACCTGCTGAACTGAAATCTCTAATATTTTTATGCCTTAGCGACTGCCAATTATCTGTTTGCTATACGGCCTATGAACATGGCATTGGTTACCTGTAACAATACTTTTTGTTCTGTGCCTGTCAAATAAACATGTAATAATAATACTATTCTCACAGAACAGTGGGTTGTAGATAGGAGAAAATGGCCATCAGTTACCTGGCCTAATATCTATAATTACCTCACTCAGGCCCCCGGTGTCTATACAAAAGAGAACCTAAATCATATAAATCTATCGATGCAGACAATTATGTGTTATGTAAAGAATGTGAAATACTTTGACTCTGGTACTGAGTTCCGTGTTTTGAGGCAGATGTGCTCCACAGTCAGAGAGTGGGCATTAAGTCAAAGCCTTATGATGCCTGGGAGTAACTATGGCCACAAAGACTTGGGGTACATCCTTACCCTGAACTGTTCTTGTATGGCAGGAAATGGACTTGTAACGGGTGTGGGCACCGTTGTAACTTGTTTTTATTGTTCAATTACAGTCTTGACCTGGTGCACACCTGTTAACCCCTTTATTAGTGTAATCTGCGTTGTGTTCCATGTTCTGCGCTGTCTGAAGAAGGACCACGACACAAGGAGGATCACTGGATGACTTTTTACTAGTAGTTATGCACAAAATAAAAGAAAACATAAATCCACATCACGTCTCTCCATGCATTCAGCTCAGCAGTCCTCTCCACAGATGCAAGGCACAGACTATGGTTCTCCTGATAAAGGAAAAAAGCAACATTAGCTCAAGTTATTATTGCCTTTTTAGTGGTATACAGGTTGATCACTTTTGTTCTCCAGTTGTTGTAATCAAGGAAAAACACCACACACTTCGTGGTTTTAGAGCTGAATACTTTAGCACTAAAGTATGTATGTGCTTTTGTTGTGACTAGAAGGCTACACAAGCTAAATCATGAACAGCTGTTTCTCCTCAGACTAAAACGAAGGAGCCTCCTTAGCTAACTTAGCAAAACAGCTAAAATGCTAACTGCCGGTTAGCATTTTAGCTGTTTGAGCTTGCTTTAACTTGACTGATCATGATAACTACATCTAGCGACATCATGTAACCTAGTGATTACTTATGGATTGGACTTTTTGATTATTAGATAATGTAGGACACAAACACAAAGTCTGCTCCAGTGTTCTTCCTTCTTTAGCCACTCAGCTATGCACACAACTTGCCTGTAACGTCGCCCAGAAAGAAACCCAGTGGGCTGTTTACCTTTCACTGGCCCCGCCCCCAAGCGACAAAAGTATTTCACGCGCGCGTAGAAGAGATGGCAAAAGTGTTCAACGCGCGCAGAACAAAGACCACGAGAAGGGAGAGGGCAGGTCACGAGCGCACACACGCGCGTATTGTTGCTCGTGGTACTGAGTCTGCGCGCGTGTGGTGTGAAATGTGCGCGTGGAGAGTAGTTTGCGCGCGTGTGAATTAAATAAAGCTGCGCGTGTATGTGTTATTTGAGCGTGTGGACTTTTGGCGTAAATCTGGCGCCATAGATTACTGCAATGGCCTGCTCACAGGTATCTCCAAACATGCAGTAAGACAGTTGCAGTATATTCAAAATGCTGCAGCCCGAGTCCTGACTAGAACCAGGAAGTACGACCACATTAGTCCGGTCCTCAGGTCTCTGCACTGGCTTCCCGTGGCCCAGAGGATAGACTTTAAAGCAGCTCTCCTGGTGTACAAGTCTCTCCATGGCCTTGCACCAAAGTACATCCATGATATGCTAGTCCCATATGAACCAGCCCGGACTCTGAGGAGCGCAGGGACGGGACTCCTGTTAGTGCCCAGAGTCAGGACTAGACAGGGGGAGGCTGCTTTTCAGATTTATGCAGCTGGAGTCTGGAACGGTCTTCCTGAGGATGTGAGACTGGCTGCCTCTCTGTCAATGTTCAAATCCATGTTAAAGACTTTTTTTTCCCGTGCATACAACTAGAGAATTTTATCTTTTTAACACACCTTGTTATTTATTGTTGTAACTTTTTGTGTTTTTAACTATTTTATTGTTTTTAATTACTTGTGTGATTTTTATGTTTTTAAATTACTTATGTGATTTTAATGCTTTTTAATTACATATGTGTTTTTAATTGTATTTTAATGGTGATGATTTGTGCATTGTGTGGTGTGGACTGTGAGGCGCTTTGTGTTGCCCTGTGCAGGAAAAGCGCCCTATAAATAAAGATTGATTGATTGATTGATTGATTTCTTTTAAAAACAAGATCATTTTGCGTTGTCCCTTTGGCAAAACTTTTTTTAAGGAAATTAAAATGAGCTCAAATTAAGATGAGTTTTGTTAAATTTGAGCAATTCTTTACTTATTTGTCATCACTTATTTGCAGTGTAGCACTTACTGTTCACTAATACGGATTTGGGACTAACTCAGGATCTACTATACATTCTTAATGCATTACAAACAGAAAGACTTAGAAATTATACATATTCAGCAGATAGATATTAGACATTATTCTCGCTACTCTTTCCTTCTTCATAAATGGTTTAGTAATAACCACACAACAGACACACATTTACACCTACACACTCACACCTTCCCCTTTGTATTTTTGTATGTCTGTTGTTGCTGCTGCTAATTATGTCTTGTGCCTTTTCCTTTACTTGTCTTTTACTTGTGCTATAATTACTAAATGAAAAAAAGAATAAGAATAATACAAAAAATTATGCATCTGATGATAATGCAAATCAATTTGACATAATTTTATACAGTGATAAAAGGATTTTATTTTTTATTTTTTTCTAATCACTGCATTTCTTGTTTGATTCTCTGATCTGTGTTAGCGAATCGACGGTTTTGTAAAGTCCTCCAACATAACATTGTGATTTAGGGCTATACAAAAATAAACTGAATGAAATTGAATATTATATTATTTGATAAAACCACAAATTGCAGCTTGTTTTGTTTTTATTTGTGTGTTGAAATTGTTATACAGCTTTAGTACATGCATCTATTCTGTTCAATGTATAAACACATTGTATTTGGTGGTAAATACTTGAACATATCTGTGTAATGTCAACAAACCGTTGCGAGACACATTCAGGAGGTTTGGGGATCGGAGACTGGAGCATTTTTACCTTGGCTCGAGTACCACTACATTTCTCACATGTTGCCATAGAAATGACTCCTTTGAGAATCCAGGTTGTGTCCCAATATGACCAATTACATCTTATGCCTGAAGTAAAACGGTCTCATTATTTCTAGAAGGATATTTCATTACTTTTTTTTTTCCTCCATAATAACAACTTGGCTATCACCTCATCTGGACATGGACCAGCCAGAGGACAAAATATTAGTATGTGTTAAAAAACAGTGAAGACAGATGGGCCTCTATCCTCGCTGTAAGTGTGAGAAAATGTAACAACTTCTCAGACACTAATGTTTTACACAAAGAAAATACAAAGACAAATCTGTTATAGGCATGAGGCGTTTACCTGCAGCTTGATCTCCTGCCCGGTGTTGATCCAACACAGGATCTGCTCACAATGTGCTTCCTTCATAACCTACATATTATTCTCATTGAACTGAACACATGCGTCTGTGGTGAGGCTGTGACATCAATGCCCCGGGACATCAGCCCCTGCCCTCTCCCTCTCCCCCATCTCTCCTCCCTCCGACGTGAATTGGAGAGGGTTCTATGAAATCGTGATAAAAATAGGAGCAGACGGGACATCCACAATCCCTGCCCACTTTGCGTGTTGCGTTGGCAGAGCGGCTAAATGAGCTGGACTGAGAGGTGCGTGTGTTGGCGTGAGAGAGAGGAGTGGGTTTAAAGACCTACAAACAGTTGGGAGACTGTTGTACGCCAAGAAAATTACCATCAGGGAGTGTGTGGATGTGGCCTGGGATGAGCGCTAACGTAGGAGTAAATGTTCAAAGGGTTCTTGTTTTTGGACAAATTGAAACACATATATTTATTTTATCTTTGGAATGCGCAAATTATGTAAAATATTTGTATTTCTTTTAAAGGGACTGTATGTGATACTTTCAACACTGAAAAAAGAGATGAAAAAAAGTAAATAATTGCTCAAATTGGGCAAAATGTATCTTAATTTGAGTACATTCTGACTGCATTAAAACAAGATTTGCCGAAAAGATACAAGACATTTCTTTCTTGGAATGAGAAAATAAATAATACTTTAAATAAGAATAAATGACTTTGTCCCATTTGCAAATCTTGTTTTAAAGCAGTCAAAAATTGCTCAAATTGAGATACATTTTTCCAAATTTGAGCAATTCTTTACTTATTTTTCATCACTTTTTGCATTGACGATATATATTGACTACACCTAGAACCATCACACACTACAAAAAATGAATAAAAAAAAGCTAAAATTTGAAAAAAAAAAAATAATCTTAACTTGAGCCCATTTTGACTGCGTTGAAACACGATTTTCAAATGGAACAGACACAATTATTATGTTTTAAAAAGAAACAAGAAATGTCTTTATTGGAATGAAAAGATAAAGCAATAGATCTTTAATTAAGTTATTTTTCCTAATGGCAAAACTATACTAATAAATTTCAATTTCAGACTGGATTCAAGCAATCATTAACTCATATTTTATCATTTTTTGCAGTGCAGGTCCCCTCCCCAGTGCAGTGAGTGACAGAATTACTGCCATAGTGGGACTCAGCGTGGCGCCTCCTTTCTTCCAGCGGCTTTCATCACCGTCTGCCATCTACACCTCAACCATTCCTGGATTTAAAACCCGGATGTTTCGCACATCTGACATAAATTAGACTTTCTCTTTTCTTGGAAGGAGTCAGAATACGCCACACAACACAACACAACACAACAGCCGCCGCAGCAAAGCCCACAAAGAGAACGGTGAGCTTCCCGGAAAGATTTCACGTAACAAAAGAGGTTAAATGTTTCAGAGGGAGATTAAGGATCAAACCTGTTGGTGCAGCCGCTGACAGAAGCAGGAGCCCGTGGTCCAATCAGCAGCAGCGCCTCAAGACAGCGGGCAAACTCACAGCGATAGTCCGTGTTGATCTAAACAGATTAAGATTAAGAGATCCTTTATTCGTCCCACAGCGGGGAAATTTCACTGTTGCATCACAAGTTATAGAACAGTGGGAAAGAGGGGCACACAGCATAAGATAAGTGAACAGTAGCTTAAAAAATACATTAAAAAAAACTATGCCGCATGTTAGTGGTGCAGAGGGAAAAATGCTAAAAAATAAAAACATTTAAAACTTGACATGTATAATTGTCAGTGGATGGTTCTTAAGCGTCTAGTAATCCATTGTAAAAGTCCAGACTCACTTTGCTGCTCTGCACGGGTCGCAGTCGATGAGGCAGCTTCACAATCCGCTGCAGTCGCTCCATCAGTTGCTGTGTGAGCAACAAAGATCCAGAGGTGGTTGTCAATATATTTTTTTTATTTTGACTTCAGTTCTGTGGTTTTGTTTTACTTTGACTTCCTGTCCTGTTCCCCTGTGTTGTTTGTCTGCCCCGTGTCTCTGTGTGTCTACTTGTACCCTGTGCTCTTTGTCGCGGGCCATTGTCCACGTCTTGGTTTGTCCTTGTCTGTCATTTCCCTGGTTCCCGTGTTTTGAGTTTGTTACCTTGGACTTTAATTTCTTATCATAAAATCAATATTTCTTTGTTGCATTCCTGATTTTTGGTCCTCCTTCGTTTCACTTATGACGGTGGCCTCCTCCACTTCACCCACATTACAGATGACAACAGCCTTATAAATAAAGATTACTTACTTAGTTACTGAGATGTGAGGTAGGGAAGTGTATTCATTGTGCATTGCTGTATATATTATGTTACTTATTATTCATAAAATCTGGTTCCACTTTGAAAAAATGGTCCTGTATAAGATAAAACGATAACTAGACACATGTCATAATTCATTCACTCCGTACACTACTGAAGACACAGCTGCCCTGGGGCACACTGACAGAAGTAAGGCGATCAGTATGTGCCACCAGCCCACCACACTGCGAAAAGTGATCAAAAATAAGTCAAAGATTGCTCAAATTTGGCTAAATGTATCTTAATTTGACTGCCTTAAAACAAGATTTGCCAATGGGACAAAGCAAAATGATCTTGTTTTAAAAAGATAGGAGAAATGTCTCCTTTGGAATGAAAAAAAGTAACAGTTCTCGAAATAAGACAAAATTATTATATTAATAAGACAAAATCTTGTTTTACGACAGTCACAATGTACTCAAATTAAGATTCAAGCTATTATTACCTCATATTTTATCATTTTTTGCAGTGCACCAATCTTTCAAACACACACAACAGACTCATTCAAGGCAATGTGGGTGAAGTTTCCCAGTTCCACAACAAATATATACAGTAATAATGCTCAATAATAGTGTTGCTCATGGCTGTACTCACATAGCCCATATCCAGAAACTCAAACTTGTTGGCAGAGTTGAGAAAAGCGGAACATGTGACGAGATGAACCTGGAGATCAGAAAGTGAATCAGTTAAGACCGAAAATAACAAATTATGTGCTTTGAAAGGAAATTTTAATATGGACTTACTACAGTTATCTTCATTGCTTGATATTATCATTAATAATTGGACTCATTGTTCAGATCTACATCTAGACCATGAGGGCAATGCATTGAAGATGGTCAACGTTACCCATGTTTGAAAGTACATCTAAATATACACAATGCATAAGAGAGTGTGAGTAAGGTGCGCTATCTATTTACAGTCTTCACTACAAAAAGGGGTGAAAAGTAAGTCAAAAATTTCAAAAAACAATTAGAAAAATGTGTCTTAATTTGAGCACATTATTGTCTGCCTTAAAACAAGATTTGCCAATGGGACAAAGCAAAGTGATCTTGTAGTAAAAAAGAAACAAGAAATGTCTTGAGATATGAGAAAATAAAGCAATAGTTCTTGAAATAAAACTAAATGGTTTTGTCCCATTGGCAAATCTGGTTTTAAGACAGTCAGAATGTACTCAAATGCAATTATGAACTCATATTTTGTCAGTTTTTGCAGTGGGAGTGCGTTATATGGTTTTTCTGGTGGAGCATCTGGATTGCGGCAAATGTGGTTGTTTTGCCTGGAATGTTCCCCAGTATAGCATTACACTTATCTATTTCAGAGACAGGCTAGAGGGTTCACGATACAAATCACATATGTTAGAGCCAACACGGTAAGAACTAAATACACTGAGGAATATTCCAAGCAAATTATTATGTTCTCTTCACCAACAAGAAGGTAGCAGACTCTTGTACTATGCACCTTTTAGAATACTGTCTTTAAGAACCTTGTAATTGAAATATTAAGCTAAAGGGATTATTTATACCACAGGGGAGGAATTTAAGTGTTGCATCGCTGGTTACAGAACAGTATGAATGAGGAGCACCCAGCACAGAAAAATGAATAATGACTCTATACTAAAATGAAATAAAATATCCAACTTTAGCATAATTAAGAAGCAAGTATAAAATGACTAACTTTAGCATAATACCAAGAAGCAAGTATAAAATAGTATATTCCAGAGCATGAACTATAGTTGTATGTATACATCTGTACATGTTAGCATTATGAGGGAATAGGCTAAAGTGACTCAGTACAGAGACAATGGACATATATAGTTCTATATTGAACATTCTGACATTGCACGGCATGTGAGGTCAGGCTGGCAGTGTTTGTTACTCCTCATTATTGTGTCTAAACCAGACTAATGTGTGATTGAAACCTTAAACTGTGGTTGAAGTCTACCTGAAGCGTTGGCAGGAGAGCCGTAAGGTGTGAGAGCTGCTCCTTCAAAGCTTTCTCCTTCTCCTCATGTTGACTGCAGACACAACACACAAACATGAAACTCTACACCAGCTCATCCTGGCTCAGAGGAAGTGCACCCAGCCACCAGCGCACGCCCTGATTCCAGAAACTCATCTATCTCTCTCTCCCACTGAAACCAACAGGAGAGAGCCTCTGGGCCGGACGCACACGGCATAACATAAATAGCCTTTAACAGCCTTCTGGGAAGCCTGCCGCTGGATGTCTTCCAAGCAAGTGATCGAGAAGTAATGGAAGACACTTGTCACAAAAAATCTCATTAAAAATCCCCACAGACAGTAACCTGATACACTCACTGGCATACACAAAACTGTTCTTGTCGCCTCATGAACATGTACCAGTGGAAAAAACAAGGAGGAAGAAATAGCACGGATCGTTATGTGGTCATTTTAAAACCATTTGTGGACGAGATTTCACACTGTGCAGCTCGGACACTTAGCACTAACTATGTTGCTCTACTTACACTTGTTTTTATATATATCTATCTATTGTAAAAAAAAAAAAAAAATTCCACTCACCTTTGGCCCTTCGCGGGCAGTTATCCCTCTCTAAGCTCGGGTCCTCTACCAGAGGCCTGGGAGCTTGAGGGTTCTGCGCAGTATCTTTATATATACATATACATATATATATATATATATATATATATATATATATATATATATATATATATATATATATATATATATATATACAGTATATATATGTATCTGTCTATCGCTCTACACCTTATCCTTGTCACATACACTTGCTAAGCAACTGAACAAATACGGTTGTCAGTGTATAGTGTTTATTTATTTCTTAAATTTATTGAAGTTATTAAACAGGTCTCAGAATCTCTTTTTCAGGCAAGTACTGGCCTCAGGGGACTGATTATTGGAGTAGGGGAGGCAGAGGAAACCTATTTAAAGTCCACAAAAAAAGGGCTATCTGGAGGTGGAATCACACCCAGGACCTTCTAGCTGTGAAGCACAAGTGCTAACCACTGCACCACCATGATGCCACTCTCTTTGTCCTTCAAATTGGGCCCTAGTGTCTCAAGTATCAATGTGCCCTGCATAATATGATTCAAGCTTTGAGCCATAACAGGTTTAGAGCAAAACTAGAACTGGGTTGGCAGTTCTGGAACTGCATAAATTACCTTTGAGCTGTTTTTAACAGTATCTTCTTTCTCTCTGCCAACTTCTCCTGAAAAAGACAAAAAAGTGTGTTTTTAACAACCTGCATGTCCTTCAGCTGTCAACTATTTAAGATAAGAAACACAAAAGTGAAGATTTCAACATAGATGTTGCAGGGCTGTGGTAGGTCGGACAGAAATGTGTTCTTCACAGAAAGGACACTAGAGACACCTAGTGGACAATTTGTGTCACTGAAGAGGAAATTCAACAATAGTACACACCTGTAGGCTGTTGAATAAAGAACATATTGCACTCTCTTCTTCTTCCACATTCAGACACACTTCTCCAATCATTGCTCTGAGAAGAACTATTGCTTCTCTTGCAGAAGTCTGCAGCTCTTTGACCACCTAAGATGCCGAAAAAGGAAAACTATTATTATAGACTGGAAGTGTATAGTATGATGTTATTGGACGCCTCATACCAGGACAGCTTGGTCCAGAATCTCACAGCCCTGGACGTACGCAGTCTCTATATCGATGCAGTGGGTCCGGCTCTCTCTGCACAAGCACCAAACAAACTCTAGTTTAAAGAGAGGAGAACTTTTCTCTGCTATGAATATTGTGTGAAAAGACACTCACACTTGCATGTCTCTGAAGCATTTGATGCAAAGCATTGACTTGTTCTGTGTTGAGAAGAGGATATAGGGCTCCTGGTGAAGTGCTGCAGAGATACACAGGAGCCTTTAACTTCAGAGTCTGTTTTCTGCCTCTTTACTGAGCGAGGTTTCACACATAAAAGGGCTCTGTATAATGGGAAAATATGCAGGCTGACTTTTAAAACATAAAGAATAGATTTTAGCTGCTGTGTTTTGCCTGGAAATGGAATGGCATAAAAAACATTACAACATTTAGGGATCATTTCAATTTCTCTACACAGATGGAGAATTAGATTAGGGCAAAAGCAGAACCCATAAGAGAAATCTAACGCGCACTTTTGTACTGATTCGATATAGCAGCTGCGGTGACCTGGTCTCTGTGCTAAAGTTGATTAAAAGCAGCACTCACAGCACATCTTGTGTTTGGCTCTGGTGCGATTGGCCAAGGACACAATCTCATGATGCGCAAACATTCTGGCTTTATGTGTCAGCTCCCGGCAGGAGGCACACAGAGGCTGGCTGCATGTGTTACAGTAATACATGACTCCGTGGTCCTGAAGAAGAAGAGTGAGTGAATAAAAACAAAATAATGTTATAAAATGGATAATCTTTTACCTTTCTGCTGCTCTCCTGGTCACAGTTCGCACACAGCACTGGCTCCTCACAGTCTGTGTTACTGTCCACGAGAAACTTTAACAGACGATCTTCTGGTGGAAGGGCATTATTCCCCTTGAGCATAGATGGATAACTAGCAAAAAATACAATAATTGATTGTTTTATATCATTGCATTTCTTGTGTTTTGGCAAATTCAATGATTTAAAAGTCCACTGAGATAACTACTGTTGTGATTAAGGGCTACACAAAAATGAACTGAATTGAATTGAATTATTGGATATTTTATATTTGGCCATTATAATGCTGGGTTAAAAGAGTGATTGGGCCAGTGTGTGCGTGCATGTGTGTGTCTTTGTCTGTACTTATATAACACATTTCCCTGACCAAGGTCACCCAAAGCGCTCTACAATGTTATGGAATACAGATATTTTTACATTCTCTCCACACACGGGGATGATAGAAGTGAGACACGAAAAATACTCAATGCTACTTATTATAGTGCTGAGTTTTAATTAATATGTATATATACATTTAATTTCTGGGCATTCAAAGATGCTTCACATGACATTATTCTTTCACTCCAAACATGTTGATGATAAAATACTTTTGTAGTCACAGCTGCCCTGGGGCACACTGACAGAAGCGAGGCAACCGGTCTGTGCCAGCTGCCCCTTTGACCACCTTCAACCATTCACACACACACACACCTGACTCGACACCTTGCCTAAGGACACAACAATAGTTTTGGCACTTTACAGCCGCAGCCACCCCACTGTAGCACCTGATGTTCCCATAGGTCTCCCATCACAGTACTAACCAGGCCCTGTCCTGCTTACATTGTGAGGTCTATCAGGATCTGGCATTCGTAAGCAGGTATGGACAAAAGTGTCATTTATCTATTTTTGGTTTTTGTTATTGTTTTGACCAAATACAAATCCAAATCGTGTTGTCTGTTGAAATAGGGAGTCAGATTTGTGATGCTTACGTTCTGAATGAATTATCTTGATTGATTCATTGTTGTTTAGACAATAATTTCCATATTCTGACACCAGTATCAATTGTCTATTAAAGATAATTAATTTAGATAATAATTCCCATGGTTGTGTAATTTACATATAAACAACAATTGCACTGCAGCTCTTCCAGTTTGTAGAAAAAGAACAAATAATTGCCACTGGATTAATCTCAACACAAAGGTGCACACAGGACGCAAATACTGTATATCCAAGCACGTTGACAAGCTCCCAGAAAGTGTCAGTTTCTTTGAGAGCAATAGTTCTTATATTAAAAGTTAAATGAGCGTCTTTTCAGGTGGAGCTGCTTTTGTGTGTCACATTGATAGCATTGTTTTAAAGAAATAATGACATAGAAAAAAAACCCCATATAGGGTCAAAAAAAAGTCATTAAAAAAACTATTGACTTGGTATTTTTATTTGTATATTGGTAACTGGCACTTTTTATTGAACTGCATTTTAATGTCCTACATATGGAACGTAGCATGGTGCTAAAACTGGTGCAACCATTCTTTTTTTTTGTAACTGCACATTGTATTTAATAAATTAAACTTAAACTGCTTCGGGAGTTGGAGTGTTTAATGAATGGCACATCATTTAAAATGTGAGACGGCTACAGCTAGGATATATGGAATGAAAATCACGTCCAAAGCAGCAGTAGTACACCATGCAGACCTTTGGGGGGCAGCAGAGACACGTGTTGAAACAGCATCAGCCACAAACGAGAGATAATGCGGAAGCGGAAGTAGAGCTTACAAACAGAACGTGTGACGACGCATGCGACAGAAACTTCTAGCACTTCACAACGAGCACAGGTCAAATAGACTAACACTATATTCAGACGAACAAACATGTCTGGCATACACGAAGACGGCGTGCGCGGGGGAAGTATTATCAAAGACATTGGTAGCGACGACGACTGGCAGCCCACGGTGATCGAGAGCCTGTGTATGAACTGCATGCAAAACGGCACCACCAAACTGCTCCTCACCAGAGTCCCATTCTTCAAAGAAATCATCGTAAGTTCTTTCAGCTGCGATCACTGTCATTGGTCCAACACAGAGATTCAATCCGCGGGAGAGATCCAGGAGCAGGGCGTTACCTACACGCTGAAGATCAAAACTAAAGAAGACTTGGACCGGGAGGTGGTCAAATCTGACAGTGCAACAACTAGAATCCCTGAGCTGGAGTTTGAGATCCCTCCTTTCACGCAAAAGGGATCATTGTCAACTATTGAGGGGCTGCTGGACAGAGCTGTGGAGGGGTTGGAGCAGGATCAGCCAGCCAGGAGGGAAGCTGACCCAGAATTGGCCACCAGTATCGATGGGTTTATCAAAAAGCTACAGAATTTAAAACACGTTGAGGAGGAATTTACATTGGTGATAGAAGATTCATCAGGGAACAGTTTCGTGGAGAATCCTGCGGCCCCCAAGAAAGATGAGGCTCTGACTGTGACCAAGTTCAAGAGGACGATCCAGCAAGACATTCAGCTGGGGATCCGAGCCGACGATGACACAGAGGTGGATGAAGAAGAGCCAGCTGAGAATGTCGTAGAGGCAATGAAAAATGAGGTTTTGGTCTTCGACACCAATTGCTCCCAGTGCTGTAAACCAGCTAAAACCAACATGAAACTTGTCGATATCCCGCATTTTAAAGAGGTCATAATTATGGCGACTGTCTGTGACATCTGTGGGCACCGGACGAATGAGGTCAAGTCCAGTGGAGCAACCGAGAAGCTGGGAACTAAGATCACCCTCCACATCACGGATGCTTCAGACATGAGCCGAGACGTCCTCAAGTCCGAGACCTGCGGCGTACTCATCCCTGAGCTGGATTTTGAGCTGGGCATGGCAGCGGTGGGAGGGAAGTTCACCACGCTGGAGGGGCTGCTTAAAGACATCAAAGATCTCATTGTGGACAAGAATCCCTTCATCTCAGGAGACAGCGGCGCATCCGATACCCTGGCGAAGCTCAGAGAGTTTGGGAAGAAAATTGACATGGTGATGGCAGCCGAAATGGATGTTCACATAGTTTTGGACGACCCAGCGGGGAACAGCTACCTGCAGAATGTGTACGCCCCGGATCCAGACCCCGAAATTACTATCGAGAAATACACGCGCACGTTTGAGCAAAATGAGGATCTTGGATTGAATGATATGAAAACGGAGGGATATGAAAAAGACGACAAATTGGTCAAAACGACTTAATGACCAATCAACCCTACACACTTATGACGTGATAGAAAATGTAGAGTCATAAGTTCATGCTGAAGACAAAAAAATTGAAGCAAAGGCTATTTTTGGACATGAGAAGAATTTGCTAAAGCACCATAAGTTAAAGCTGGTAATGGGCAAGAGGGGAATTATAAGTTGTCTGAATTTAAAACATGGTAATTTATGTAACAAAGTAAATGTGTATGATAAAAGCTTTTGTTTATACATTGATATTATGCTTTTTTTTGTCTTGATCCATCTTAAAGCAATTTATTTAAATAAAGGTGTTTATTTGTTCCATGCGTGTATCTTTCTATTAAGGAAAATAAATAATTTGCTACCAGTAACATATTTCACTAAAGTAGTTTGTCAGAGTACCTTTTATAAACTATTTGCGAAGCAAACCATATAATTCAATCCTGTTAATCCTTTTTGTGTGGTAGATCCAGTTTTCAGACAAAAAATGATAATTGAAAAGGAGACTTACCACTGACATATTGCCTCATAGGGTTCTTTCTTACAACTAACATTCTAAAGATAAGCTGTTTTCTAATAATGCTGTGAGTTATTTTCACAGCATTTTACTTTTACAATTCTGTAGGACAAAGATGGATCTTTGAAAGAGAATAGAAAGCCCAGACATCAAACATATCTGCAATATAGAACCACATGTATCTCCTGTCACTTCACAGTCACTTTGTCTCATACCTTATACTGCTAACATGTACAGATCAATATATTTATTGCACTAGAACAGGTGTCTCCAACCTTTGTCACCCAGAGAGCTACTTTCCCGGGATGATAAAGGCAGAGAGCTACCCCTTTAAGCGGCCCTGGGACAAATGTGATATATTGGTGTGAAAGAGCCTGATGTTGGGAACAGTCATTATTTATCATCACATATTTGTTACTAGTGACAAAGTAAGTGCATTTACAATAATAAATAGTAATAATGGATAATACATGTTGGAATATTCAGTATATTATTTTATTTTTTAAACTTCTAAATCCTTTGGCGAGCTACCTAGAAAGGGGTGGCGAGCTATTGGTGTCTCCCAAGCTACAGGTTGGAGACCCCTGCACTAGAATATACAGTCTTAAACTTAATTCCTGCTTTAAGTTGAAGATGTTCTACTTGTGTCTTCATTATGCTAAAATTAGAGATTTTACTTTTTGTATAGTCATTGTTTATTTTCCTGTGTGCTCATTCCTACTGTTCTGTAACTCGTGATGCAACACTGAAATTTCCCCACTCTGGGATCAATAAAGGATCTCTTCATTAAACATGCGGTTTGTCTGAGCAAGAGACCCAGTGTGCAGAAGTTATTTCAGAGAGAGAGAATGAATTCCTAGATGTGTAGTTCCTGAAAGAGAAAACTATTCGTTCCTTTCACCTACTTTATCTGTCATCCTTATGACTTCAGCTGTAATGTGTTCATTGCCATTTCACCCGCGGTCCCATTGTCCGTTTCATAGTGTGAAGATGGGACCTCTGAGCCTGGCCTCTGACCTGGCCCAGACTCATGAGCTCCTGTGTGAAGCCTGCTGTTCATGGAAATAGAAACTACAGCATTGGGCTTTGTAGCTTGAACCCACTGGCTCTGCATCTACTAGGACTAGGTCATAGAAAATGACCCAACAGATCTTATTATTACTTGTGAGCCTTTTAGCATCACTCCTATCAATAATACAATTCAGAAGTTGTTGTAGTTTTAATATCATTATTAAACTATATTAAAATCCAGGTTAAAGAGAGTTCTGTTATCTTTACTCTTGTTGTTGTACTGTGATTATTTATGCCTTGTGCAATTCTTTGCTAACTTGTTATGTTCAGCACTTTGAGTTACAGTACCTTGTGTATGAACTATGCTATACGAATCAACTTGCCTGGCCTTCTACATGAAGGTGACCGAAGGGATAGTCTTTATCCGGGTTAGAAAAGTTGTGTATCATGTGACTGAGCCTGATTGCCTTTGAGCTCCAGGCATCAGTGCCAAATGCCAGCTTTGTTGTGTATGGTCCCCACAGAACCCTCTGGCCCCGGGGCGTGTGTTGGACTGAGCACAAAATCAGAGGAAGACCAAGCAGCTGCTCCGACCAAAGAGCTTCAGGTCAAAGTCATCGCAGCCAAAGAGATGTGACGCCCAGCAATTCTTTACAACTCACCCAAGTGACCATCACGCTGAGGTCAAAGTGTGTGCAGGTACTCTGTGAAATGTTTCAGGATGGTCTCAATTGTTCTGCCTGCTTGTCTCCAAGGACATGGTTATAATAATTTCCCTGGAATGTTCCAACTTATTTCATTTTGGATTTATCACACATCATTCAATCATGAATAACATCTCTCTCAAGCTTTTTGAGAGACTTGTGAAAAACAGACTCCCAAAAAAAGCTCTGTAAAGCGAATGGGGTTCAACTCTGCATAAACAAAAATACTAGGATGGCTAGAACAGAGGAAGTTTAGTTTTTTACAAAATAGCAAAAAAAATGCAGTTGATTCATTGTATTTTTAAAATCCCCAAATTTTAGTGAGTTTTTGTGTTTTTTTGTGATGTCACCTCCTTGTTTGCATAAAGTTCGAGCACTTTAATGTTTTATTGTGGAATATTCAAGGCAACAAGGTAAAATTGTCATTGAGTGTGAAGCAAGTTGAAAAGCCCTCGTGATATTTGAATGAAAAGGAAACTTGTATGTGTATGTTTGCAGCCCTATTGTTAAGGCTTTATGAACCAAATGTTTTTGAAAAAATACTGCTTTGACTTGCTTGTCTTTTTTGACTCAGCCAAAAAACAGTAACACAGATCACTAGTCATAAGAGATACATCAGTTCTTTTTCTTACCCACAGAGGGGGCAGTTGAGGCGGCTATCGTTGGTGCGGCCTCTCAAGCAGCGGGCGCAGAAGATGTGGTAGCAGTCCAGCAGACAAGGGGACTGGTACTGCTCATGGCAAAGATGGCACATGAGAGGGTGAACGTTGCTACAATCTACATTACACACACTGTCCAGGTTAGTGAAGATGGATCCCGCCATCTGAAACACATATGCATTCACTGTTAATGATGGGGAACCTCTTGTATGCACACATGAGGAATATAGACACAGTTGTCAAAATTGTAATATTACCTTACCTCGTCAATGTTACTGTAATAATCCTTTCATTTCCCAAAAAAGAAAAAGTGACTCTTAAATGTGACTTTGTTTTGTTTGACAATCACCAAGCATCTAGCCTGACCAGAGAAAGTATACATGAGCCACTGTCTTACCTCTCAGCCACACTATCAGTCCCCTGCTACAGGAATGGCAGCAATGCAAAGGCTCTTCAATTGTAGGCCATGGGGTCCCTCTAGCAGGCAGCTGGCAGGAACGCCTGTGCTCGGCCCCAAATGCAAAAAAGGGAAATTTATAATGCAGTGCAGTCTGTTCATAGACCACATTTTCAATTCAGTTCACTTTAAAACCACATTGAATTCACCAACACAGACCGGAGAATCAAACAGACCAAACACAAGAAATGAAATGACAACTAAAGACATAGAGTCATTGGTCATACATGTTGATAAATGTCCATAAATGTTGTTGAATATTGAGAATCCTGGTCCTGGATCATCACCACTCAATATCAAGTATCGCATAGTCTACTTTGATAAGATCAGCATCAGTTAAAGCTGCCCAAAAACCTAACTTAAAAATGTATATAATGAGTTCCTCGCTGCCAAAAAAAGAAAACAAAATTGGATCAAATTATTTAAAAGTGAAAATCTCAGCCTCAAGCATCAAATGGTTTTAATAAATGAATAATATATTTGTGTTTTTCTCAACATTTAACTTTTACATTGGATTTCCTAGCTTTAAGTGTCTAGAAGAGATAGTGTAGGCACAAATGGTGTAATAAGGTTATGAAATATTTCTACATAAGTATGATATTCACAATATTCACTTTTACATTGCATTCCCCTGCTTTAAGCATCTAGAACAGACAGTGTAGGCACCGTCCATAATAGATCCATGGTCCAACCCCGTTATTATACTACATCCAAATCTATGACACAGGACACAGGATCAGGTCAACACAAACAATAACAAAGACTCTTACTTTAGTTTAATTGATTTGACGCTAGTCACGTGGCACCTTTGTCTTCACCAAAAAATCATCTTCCAGAATACAGTAAACAAAACAATGAACGTTAGATCCTTCAACCACAAGAACAGAGTTGTCAGACCGTGTGGAGCATAATAATAAACCATGACTGATTGGAAGTGAAGTTGTAAATCGAGCGCAGATAAATCGATGAGTTCGATGCTCGCCGATGCCGCGGTCCATATACTCCCTGCGCATGCGTGGCTCACTCTTTTAGCTCAACGTGTCAGCCATGGCTCCGACAGTAAGTGGAAAAACTCACAGATTAAGAGCTTTTCTGCATTTATTTCAACGTTGTCTGCCCATTGGATCGTAGCTACTGTTTCGGAGTGTCTGTATACATCATCATGTTTGGATTTAAGTTAAAATATGGCTCTAATCTACGCTGACAGTATGTACCCACGTTGGGCTAACTTCATGAGCTAAAGCTAACTACACTAGACCCAGGCTGTGGAGGAGGAGGAAGAAATGATTTCACATGTTTTCAATGTAGCGGACATTGTAAACATGCTTTAGATGTATGCAATCCACTCATCAGTGTTTGGTCCCTCTTGCAAATATGTTTTGTCTTGTTGTTTCGTCCAGCTGAAGAAGCCTGTGGTGCGAAAGGGTGGAAAGAGGAAGAAGCAGCTCCTGAAGTTTACTTTGGACTGCACTCACCCTGTGGAGGATGGCATTATGGATGCTGCCAACTTTGTGAGTTTGTCTCATACTGTCTGTAAATCAAAGCAAGGCATGCTTACTAACACTATGTATAATGTGTCATCTATGAACGCATTGTCAAAGTTGCAATAGGGGTTCGGCAGTACAAGTCTTAACTTCAGCCTTAACCCCTCTTTAGGGACTATTTAGCACTGCAGTTCTTTAGTATACACGTCTTAGTAGTTTTTTTTTCTTTTCTGTAAAATGTATTTGATCTTTGGAATCATGTGACAAGTTCTAATGTACATAATAACTGAAGAAATAAACAACTACTTAATTCTGCAACAGTATGATCATTCAAACTTTAATGTCGACAGAAATAACTAATGTCTACTAAAGATATGTTTTGGGTGCTCAATATTGACTTATGATTAAGAGATCCATTATACATCCCATCACCAGTTGCATATCAGTAGGAAAGAGGAGCACACAGCACAAGATAATTGAACAATCGCTCTATACTATGATAAAATTCCTAACTTAGTATTGCTTCTTTCTTATGCCTATCTCGGGCATTATATAGAAACCTGTATGAATTCTCCAACTAGAGCATAATGAAGAAGCAAGACTTGAATAATGTATATTCTTTTACAAGAAATATATATAGTTGTTTATATCTGTACATGTTAACAGCATGAGGGACTCTTGTGGTTCTGTATTGTTCATTTTGACATTATTCAACCATGTTGTGTCTGTTGTTGGTGTGATTGGGATATTAAGTATAAGCCAGACATGTTCAATTATGTGACGATGGTTCATTTTATTGCTATAGGAGCAGTTTCTGCAGGAGAGAATTAAAGTGAATGGAAAAGCTGGAAACCTGGGAGGTGGCGTGGTGTCCATCGAGAGGAGCAAGAGCAAAATTGCTGTAAACTCTGAAGTCCCCTTCTCTAAAAGGTATACTTTACAAAAGTAACTCATTCAAATGGGATTGTGCTGTGAATTTGTGAAAAATACAAGTATATTGCACAAAGTATATTGCACAAAGTATATAAGTATAAAAATGGTGGTTGGCTGTGTTCCAGTATAGAAAGTTGATCGGACAACACGTTTTTAACACCAATTTTTAATAAACACCTATATAATATACAGGTGTTCAGGGCAAAATAGGACTTTTTATATACATATATAGGCTAATATAAGTTTCAAATTCTAATTACAACACTAAATTACTCTAATTACTCATGAATTGGTAAATGTGCAACTGAATTGAATATATAAGTAACTTTCAGTACATTTTATCACAACATATAGTTTTGTATTTTTAAAATACTGTTAAAACAAAGAGGAATAGCAATTTACTTTAACTAGTTGCTCTCAGCACTGCCCAAAAGAACAACTTTTGGGCAATATTTTTTTATTGAAAAATTGATAAATACACTTTGCTACACTGTACTACGCTGATGTTCTTAAAATTCTGAGGTGAAATCCCATCACTTCTGATTCTTGGTTTTCTTTTGTAGTTTGTGTGTTCTTCTCGTGTCTGCATAAGTAACATAAGGTATCCTTCAGTAACTTGTGCAATGGAAATGCAAGTGCTGCAGGAGGGAAAGGATTGTGGTCATGGAATGGTGAATGAGAGAGTGCTTCGAATTAGGGATGTAAACCGGTTAACCGGTGGTTGACCGTCACAGCGTTAACCGGTCAAAGCTGTCGGTTAAAATAGAGAAAAAGGGGAGAGGGGAGGTCTCTTAATAACGCTATTTTAAGCCCTATTTGCACGGTGTGACGAGCGGGTCTGTATCTAGCTGTGTGCGCCCATGTATTATAAACTCCGGGACGACTCTCACGCCGCACGAGCCACATATGCACACACGCGCACGCGCACACACATACACACACACACACTTTCCCCCTCTCCATACGTAACATCCACACGCATCATCTCTCCCCTCTGTTACCGTCAAAGTTGCACACTGGCGCTGGTCAGAACTACATTGGAGCTTACATTTACACACACACACATATACATACACACACATACATACACACACACATACATACACACACAGGTCTGTCGCGCTCCTCTGTGTCACGGAGCCCAAAGGATTCGCGCAAATACGCGGCTTCAGTCAAACCACATGGAACATGTTTGTGTTTATGATCCTCGGGATCAGCTCCACACACATCACTCCAGGCCCCTGCTAAAAAAGAGCAGCCTGGATGCTACGTTACTTAACAACTATCGTCCCATCTCAAATCTGCCATTTATGGGGAAAGTCCTTGAAAAAGTTGTCTACCTACAGCTTACTAGATTTCTTATAATTAACAACTCATTTGATGTTTCAGTCCGGCTTTAGACCCCACCACAGCACTGAGACTGCTCTTGTCAAGGTTACAAACGATATCCGGCTGAACACTGACGCAGGCAAAGTCTCAATCTTAATCTTGTTAGATCTGAGTGCTGCCTTTGACACCGTCGACCATGAGATCCTCTTACAGAGACTAGAGGACTGGGTTGGAGTCGCTGGCACCGCCCTAAGTTGGTTTAGGTCTTACCTTGAAGACAGGAAGTACTTTGTGGAGATTGGAGACTGTGTCTCAGATCATATGGCCCTGACCTGTGGAGTACCACAGGGGTCGATCCTGGGACCTCTTCTGTTCAATCTTTACATGTTGCCGTTAGGTCAGTTAATACGCAGAAACAAAGTGTCCTATCATAATTATGCGGACGACACTCAGATCTATGTCTCACTGACTGCAGGAGAACATGGACCAGTGGACTCACTCCTTCACTGTATCCAACAGATCAGTGAGTGGATGCAAAACAACTTCCTTCAGCTAAACGCAGACAAAACTGAAATGATTGTCTTTGGTCCCCAGAAACAAAGAGAGAGCGTCATCTGTCACCTACAGTCTCTCTCCCTAAAACCTTCAAACAAGGTCAGAAATCTAGGGGTAATACTGGACTCAGACTTAAATTTTAATAGCCACATCAAATCAGTAACATCAGCAGCTTTTTACCATCTAAAAAACATTGCCAGGATCAAAAACATAGTGTCTAAAGCAGACTTGGAGATTCTTATCCATGCATTTACAATACAATTTATTCTTGTATAGCCCTAGGTCACAACAGAAGTCATCTCAGAGGACTTAACAAAACCATTGAAATCACCAACACAGGTCAGAGAATCAACAGTTAAAACACATGAAGAATATAAAGCACACACAGAAGAAAATGTCCATACATGTTGTAGAATGCTAAAGTGTCCTGATCATCACCAATCCTTTCTGTTGGACACTAACTGTCCAACAAGACCCTCCTGCATCGACAAGGAAAAACTCTTAAAAAACCCAGTGGGAAAAAGTGAGAAACCTTGGAGGAGAACTAGGGAAACCCACAGGGAGGGAGACCCATATGAGAAAGCGATCCGCTCCTCCGGACGGACAGGCTAATGATCCTGGACCTAAGCTAGCTACAGAACGTGGACCAGTGGACGCTGAACGTGGACAGGTCCGGTGCAGGACTGAAGCACTCCCAGGCGGGTCGGGCGGGGCAGTCCGCAGGTGTAGATGGAGGAGGCCAGGCTCAGAGGTCCCGTCATCGTACCATGAAACAGACAATGGGACAACGGGTGAATAGCAATGAACAAACTACAGTCAGAATCCTAAAAATGCTAAACAGATAAAGTAGGAAGGAGGAGAGGATAGTGCTCAAGTTACCATACTTCTCCCAGCAAACTGACTCCCTATGCAGCTTGACTAACACTCTGAGGAGTTTAACCTTCTCCGAGTCTTACCTTCCTAGCCATATGCTAAACTAAAGAGGACTGTTTTAAACCTAGCCTTGAATAAAGAATAACATACAGCATAATATATAACATAATATACAACATAACACAATACATTATTGAATAATATATAACATAATATATAACATAATGTTACGGCCGCTGGCGCTGGGCCGCGTCGTACACCCGCTTCCCTCCCTCCTGTGTTGTGCTGCTGTTCTGCTCAGGCTCCGCCCCGCTGCATGGTGCACCGGCTACGCACGCTGCCTCCCAGTTCTGCCTTCCGTTCGGAGATTGGGTCGCGCTTTCCACGTCTGGCCAATCCATCGCTGCGGCTAATCAGCACCAGCCTTGAAAACGAGTCTGCTCCTTCTGTGCGGGGCGGCTTGAATCAGTGTCTTGTCTGCCACCGTTCTGAGAGAACGTGTTGTCTGTGTGCGCTAAAGATTAAGCTTAAGGTTGCCTGTGTGGCTCTGTGCTTGTGTTTATTTGAGAACCCTGTGTTTTTGTGTGTTTTATTTGACTCTGACGCTGTCCAGTACAAACTGTTACCCCTTTTGCCTGTTTTATTAAAAGGCCATCTAATTTACCATTATTACATCCTTGGTTTTATGTTACTTCCCTCTTCCCCTACGAGCTCAACTGTAGGGTCGTAACATATTTGGGGTCTCGTCCGGGATCTACACGTTCCCGGCATTAGGTGGCCGAATCAAATTTATTAGGTAAGTGGGGGGGTAAGCTGTATTGTATTTGGACATTGGGAGAATGGCAACCGCTTTCAATTTACAGGCATTCTTGCTTCATCCCTCGGCCGAAGCACTTGAGCGCTGTAAAAAGAAGGATCTATTTGAGGTTGCCGATCATTTTGAGATTTTGTATTCCCGTCAGAGCAGCAAGGCCGAACTCAAGGTGCTGCTCCTGGATGGTTTGGTGGAGAGGGGCTTGCGTTTGATCCCAGAGGCTGAGAGGTCTGATGAGAGCATCGTGCATGCGACTACCCCGAGACGTACGGAGACGCCTGCGGATGGCCCTCCCGGAGCGGAGCGTGAGTTTGTAGAGGGCGATGCGCGGCCTGAACCACCGCGCACTCCTCCTCGCTACGGGCCGCCCTCCCCAGCTCCTTCCTCTCCCGGCTCAGTTGGTGGTGCTCGGCGCGCTTTGCGGCTGGCACGCATCAAGATGGAGGCCGAGCAGAAGGATCGGGACCGCAGTGCCGAGCTCGAACTGCATATACGGAGGCTTGAGATCGAGGCTGACAAAGCTGTGCGCCTCAGACGCCTTGAGCTGGAGGCCGAAGGCCGCCTCCCCAGTCCTACTCAACGCCCGGGCGTCGCTGCACCTGCCACAGCCCTCTCCCCAGCTGTTCATGACTCTCTTGACGTGAGTAAAATGATACAAATTGTGCCTACATTTAGGGAGAGTGAGGTTGATTCGTATTTTTCTGCTTTTGAGAGAATCGCGATGGCGTTAAATTGGCCTCGTGAAGTTTGGCCTATCCTTGTGCAGTGTAAAGTGTACGGTAAAGCACAAGAGATAATCGCTGCGATGCCTCTCGCTGAGAGCCTGCAGTATGATGCAGTCAAGAGAGCAGTCTTACGCGCGTATGAGTTAGTGCCTGAGGCCTACAGACAGTCTTTTAGAAATCTCCGTAAAGCCCCGAGTCAAACGTGTGTTGAGTTCGCACGGGAAAAAGGAAATCTGTTTGACAAATGGTGTGCCTCTGCGAAGGCCCAAGATTTCGATTCTTTGCGTGAATTAATGTTGTTAGAAGACTTTAAGAACAACCTGCCTGCGCGTGTGGTTGTGTATTTGAATGAGCAAAAGGTTAAAACTATTTCTGAGGCTTCTGTGTTAGCAGATGAGTTTGTGTTGACTCATAAGAACTTTTCGTCATCTTCTGTTAATGAGACGCGTGTGTCTGTGCAGCCTGATCGTCCACGCTCTCCTGGAACCTCCACAAGGGACAGAGTCTGCTTCTACTGCCGCGAGCCCGGACACGTAATCGCAGACTGCCCTACTCTCAGACAAAAGGAAGAGTGTTCAGCTCCAAACGTTCAGAGCATTGGGTTAATTCAATCTGTAAGTCATAAGTCAGGACCCAATACTGTCCAAAATCACGGCTCCTGTTTTGAGCCTTTCATATCACAGGGCCTAGTATCACTGAATGGCGAAGCACCAGATCAACGCCCCATCCGTATCCTACGAGACACTGGCGGTTCCCAGAGCTTGATTTTGGCCAGTGCTCTCCCGTTTTCATACCGCTCTTACTGTGGTTACAGGAGTGTGTTACGGGGAGTTGAGATGGGCTACCGCCCGCGGCCCGTTCACTCTGTTCATGTCCAGTCAAACCTCGTTACAGGAAAGTTTCCGTTAGCTGTTGTCCCTGCGCTACCCATTGAAAATGTAGACATGATTTTATGTAATGATTTGGCAGGGGGCATGGTGTTTCCTCCCCTGTTGGAGGCGGTTCTGTCCCCGCTTGTGTGTGCCTCTGATCGTCAGATGCCCACGGGTTGTGCTGTGGCGCACACCCGTCCTCCAGAACAGTGCGGTTGTAGTCTGCCCGCCAGTCCAGTGAAACCACGAGTACCGCCGCACTTTACTCCACCCGCCACTTCTGTACGGAAGCACAAGGCTAGGGCCACCAGGCTTGGGTCAGGCGAGCGGCACTTTCAGCACCATGGAGAGCGTTTTGGCTCTCGCTCTGCAAGTTTCAGTTCGCGGCCTTGATCTGTGTGTTCCTTTGAGGGATTCGCCACGAGAGAGGCAAAGTCTGTGATTCTGTGTTCGGGTGAGTAATTCACAAATTTGCTCTGATTTTACTTTGAGATGGCTTGTATTTTAAGGGGGGGAGTGTTACGGCCGCTGGCGCTGGGCCGCGTCGTACACCCGCTTCCCTCCCTCCTGTGTTGTGCTGCTGTTCTGCTCAGGCTCCGCCCCGCTGCATGGTGCACCGGCTACGCACGCTGCCTCCCAGTTCTGCCTTCCGTTCGGAGATTGGGTCGCGCTTTCCACGTCTGGCCAATCCATCGCTGCGGCTAATCAGCACCAGCCTTGAAAACGAGTCTGCTCCTTCTGTGCGGGGCGGCTTGAATCAGTGTCTTGTCTGCCACCGTTCTGAGAGAACGTGTTGTCTGTGTGCGCTAAAGATTAAGCTTAAGGTTGCCTGTGTGGCTCTGTGCTTGTGTTTATTTGAGAACCCTGTGTTTTTGTGTGTTTTATTTGACTCTGACGCTGTCCAGTACAAACTGTTACCCCTTTTGCCTGTTTTATTAAAAGGCCATCTAATTTACCATTATTACATCCTTGGTTTTATGTTACTTCCCTCTTCCCCTACGAGCTCAACTGTAGGGTCGTAACACATAATACAGCATATATATATATAATATATACACTACATATTATATATTACCTAATTATATGCTAAATTAAAGTAAAGTGCTTTAAGCCTGGCCTTGAATGTGGAGACCGTATCTGCTTCCTTAACATAAATGGGAAGCTGATTCCACAGTAAAGGAGCTTGGTAGCTAAATGCTCTGCCACCAACAGTGACCTTTGAGACCTTAGGGACCACCAGACGTCTGGCGTTTTGTGAGCGCAACGCTCGACCTGGTTGATACGACACTAACGTGTCTTGGAGATAAGAGGGAGCCAAGCCATTTATGGCTTTATATGTTAAGAGTAGGATTTTAAACTTTATTCTGTACTCCACAGGGAGCCAGTGGAGTGATTTTAACACCGGAGTTATGTGCTCCCTCCTTTTGGTACCTGTTAAGATCCTAGCTGCTGTATTCTGAACGAGCTGGAAGCTCTTGAAAGAGGCTTTAGGGCACGCTGCCAGTAAAGCGTTACAGTAGTCGAGCCTTGAGGTGACAAACGCGTGAATGAGTTTTTCCGCGTCACTTTTAGGAAGGAAATTCCTAATTTTAGCGATGTTCCGTAAGTGGAAGTACGCCGTTTTAGTTGCTTGGCTTATATAAGCCTTGAAGGAGAGTTCTTGGTCAAAAATGACTCCAAGATTCCTCACAGTGTTACTGGGTATTATACTGACATTATCGAGAGTAACCATCTGGTTAGTGAGCTAGTCACGCAGGCGCTTCGGACCGAGTAGGATCACTTCTGTCTTCTCCGGGTTGAGAAGTAGGAAGTTAAGAGTCATCCACATTTTAAGGTCCTTTATGCAGGCACTGAACTTTTCTAGCTGATCTGTCTGGTTAGGCTTCATCGACAGATAAAGCTGTGTGTCGTCTGCATAGCAGTGGAAATTAATTCCATGCTTTTTAATAATGTTTCCCAGTGGCAGCATGTAGAGAGTAAAAAGAATCGGTCCGAGTACCGAACCCTGCGGCACACCGAATTCCACTCCAGAATAAGGCGACGAGTCCTGATTCACATTGACGAAGTGATATCGATCTGATAAATAGGATTTAAACCAGCCAAGGGCTGTTCCTCTAAGACCTATATCACATTCTAGCCTCTGCAGTAGAATGCTGTGGTCTATTGTGTCAAATGCAGCACTAAGGTCCAGTAGGACCAGCACTGACACTTGTCCATTATCGGCAGCTAGTAGTAAGTCATTTGTGACTTTGACTAGTGCCGTTTCAGTGCTATGATGAGCTCTGAATCCTGATTGAAAGACTTCAAACATATCATTTTCCTGCAGGTGGCAGCGGAGCTGCTCAGCTATAAGTTTTTCCAGGATTTTAGATATAAAAGTGAGGTTTGAGATCGGTCTGTAGTTTGTAAGTATTTCTGGGTCCAGGTTTGTTTTCTTCAGAAGGGGTTTGATTACCGCGGTTTTAAAAGCTTGTGGGACATAGCCACATTGTATGGATGCGTTTATTATATTTACGATAGGCTCAATTATCAAAGGAAGTATGTCTTTGAAGAGCCATGTCGGGACTGCGTCTAACATGCAAGTTGAGGCTTTTGAGGATGTGACCACAGAGATCACCTCTGCTTGGCTCACAGCCATGAATTTATTAAGGCCCACTGAAGAGTCTAAGTGGGAAGTCACGTATGCCGCTTCAACCTGTCCACCACTAACAGCAGGAGCAACCTCCTCCAGCTTGTCACGGATGGATGTAATTTTATTATTAAAGAAGTGGAGAAAGTCGACACTGCTCAGTGAGCTTGGAATTTTAGGCTCGATTGCGCTATGGCAGTTTGTGAGTTTAGCGACGGTGCCAAACAAAAATCTACTGTTGTTTTTATTCGCTTCTATTAAAGTTGAATAGTATTGAGTTCGAGCCCCGCGAAGGGCCTTCTTGTAGTTTCGGAGACCTGCTTTCCACTCCCTGTGGACAGGCTCCGAGTGGGAGTGGCGATATAGCCTCTCCAATTTTCTGACGTCCTGTTTTAAAGTGTGGAGTTGAACACTGTACCAGGGCGACGATGATCTAATCCTAATGGTTTTCTGTTTTAAAGGAGCTGCTGCATTTAATGCAGATTTTAAAGACTCCATAGTGTTGCCCACCGTTTGGTCAATGACTGAGGGACTGGAGCTGCTGTGAACAGGTTCACCTGCAGCAGTATTCAACATAGGCTGTATTAGTTCTTTGAACCTTGTGATAGATTTATCATTTAAGGTTCTTTTCATTATGGTTTTATCTTGCGGGACAGGAAAGTCCTCCAAAGCGAGATCAAACGTGATCAAGAAATGGTCAGACAGCAACGAGCTTTGACGCTGGATGTCAACATTGGAGACATCACAGCCGTAGGTCAGGACAAGGTCCAAGGTGTGGTTATGAATGTGAGTAGGTTCCTCGACATTCTGAGTAAAACCAACACCATCTAGTACGGCGCTGAAAGCTTTGTTTAAGCTGTCAGTGCTGTCGTCCACATGTATATTGAAGTCTCCAGCTATAACTATGTTTTCCCATTCCAAAACTAGGTTTGAAATGAAGTCAGAGAATTCTGTTAGGAACTCGCTGTAAGGACCAGGAGGTCGGTATAAAACTATAAATAGTACTGCTTTTTGTTTTCTCCACCCAGGACAGGTGATTGAAAGTGTTAAGTTTTCAAACGAGTGAAAAGCGTTGTTGGTTTTGGGACTAAGAACCAAGTTGGTGTGTGATATAATCGCAACACCACCGCCGCGACCTGTAGCTCTGGCTTTCTGGTAGTTAACATGCGTCGGAGGAGTGCACTCATTCAATCTAACGTAGTCGTCCTGTTGGAGCCAAGTCTCCGAGAGCGCAAACAGATCCAAGCCCTTGTCTATAATAAGTTCGTTTATGAGAAGCGATTTAGACGAGATTGATCTGACGTTCATTAAACCACATTTAACAACCCTACCGCTAGAACTATTTCTGTCTGTCTGAACTTTTATTAAGTTACTGTGTCTGACACCTAGGTCAGATTTCCTCGCATATAGTGCTTTAGACTTCAAGCGGGGAACACACACAGTTTCAATCTGACTAGGTTCTGAGGCTAGTAACTGAGCACACACATGCACACACAGTTTCAATCTGACTAGCCTCTGAGGCTAGTAACTGAACAGATGGGGGCTCAGAGGTTGTGGCAGAGCAGCTCTGCACCCGGGCCTCAGTTCTGCACCGTCATTTGAGCCGAGCAGAACAGTTTAGAGCCAGGGCCAAATTCTTAGCCAAAAGGGATGTACCCGCCAACGTTGGGTGGATATCATCCGAGCGGATGAGACCGGGCTTTCCCCAAAAGGCACTCCAATTGTCAACATGAACAACACCACTTCGAGGGCACCAGCCAGACAGCCAGCGGTTGAAAGCAGAGTGTCTGCTGAATGCTTCTGCACTGCTAGTGCTAGGTAGGGGCCCAGAGAAGATGACAGTGTCGGCCATTGTGCTAGCCAGCTTGCACACGCACACGCATTTGCTTGCACACGCACACGCATTTGTCTCCAGTAGGTTAGACTACTGCAATGGCCTGCGCACAGGTCTGTCCAAACAGGCTGTAAAACAGCTGCAGTACATTCAAAATGCAGCAGCTCGAGTCCTGACTAGAACCAGGAAGTACGACCACATTAGTCCAGTGCTCAGGTCTCTGCACTGGCTTCCTGTGGCTCAGAGAATAGACTTTAAAACAGCTCTGCTTGTGTACAAATCTCTCCATGGCCTCGCACCAAACTATATTAGTGACATGTTAGTCCCATATGAACCAGCCCGGACTCTGAGGAGCACAGGAACTGGACTCCTGTTAGTGCCCAGAGTCAGAACTAAACATGGGGAGGCTGCTTTTCAGATTCATGCTGCTAAAATCTGGAACAGTCTTCCTGAAGATGTGAGACAGGCCTCCTCTCTGACAATGTTTAAAACCAGGTTAAAGACTGTTCTGTTTAGCTGTGCATACAACTGAGGGATTTTATATTTTTATCTTTTTTTTTTTTTTAATGTACTGTGATTATTTGCTTTCTTGTTCTGTTCAGCACTTTGAGTTGCCTTGTGTATGAATTGTGCTATACAAATAAACTTGCCTTGCCTTGCCTATTTAAACTTTTGTGAAGACCTGTGAGACGCGGCTCGTCACTCGCTGCTCTGACCATGTGAACGAGCCGTCGTTTGCTGCTAGAAAGTTTTGGTATTAACCCGCAGCACAGCAGAATGGGAAGATTAAAACAGCAGTTCTCTGTGCGCAAAGGTGCCGGAGCTGTTGCGGGTTTGGGCGCCGCTGTCTCAACTCTGATCCAGTAGAACGCTCAGCTGCACTTATGAAAAGTACGCGGCTCGAAATGGCTGTTATTTCAAAGAACGTGGACTATTTTAAACTACGCGGTTAACCGGTTTCAACCGGTTAATGAGGCTCGGTGGTCGGTCATGAAAATTCATAGTTTTTTACATCCCTACTTCGAATGACTATAGGCTGTGAAACCGATTATTTAGTTTTTGTTGTTTGGATCAGTTGTGCAGATTGACAGTGATGCTCCTCTCCCAACCTTCGCATATTACAATGGTCCCTCTATAATGTTAATCTTTTGCAGTTTTGTGTGTGCAATTCTATGTGCTTGTCATGCGTGGTGTGTATACTCCAACATATAAAATGCGTATAATCGCTAGTATAACATGACAGCCTTTTTATTTACTGCGTGCATCGTAGTGTTTGGTTCAGAGCATTGCCGCGGTCTTGTCGTAGCCCTCAGTCCTGCCCTCAGCGTGGCGTCCTCTGTAGCTGTATTTGACAGCACATGCACAGCTTTTGACAGCAATGCCCTTCAGGGTCATAAGTTCAGGTGGTTAGAAAAGTGAGTGGGTTTAGTGCCTTAAAACGTATCGCTGCTACTTTGGATTTTACCAATTGCAGGTAGTTGTAATTATACTTGGAAGTCTTTTATAATGTAAATGATCCCAGGTCTGGACTTGCAGAGGATACACTATGTTTACAATTTGATTGTTTACAGACCTGAGTTTATTTTTGTATAATGCTGAAATCACAACAGAAGTCATCTGAGTACACAAACTTGCCAATTAGCCGACCAATCATAGAAACTGTTCAAACACGGGAGATGCAATTATACCACCATAGAAGTCATTGGTCCATAGTGGGGGGATCCGCTCCCATGGACAGACAGGCTATATAGCTCCTGGACTCAGGCTGTAGAATGAGGACTGATGCGCCTCCCAGCCAGGGAGGGGGTGCAGCTCATGAGTCTGGGCCAGGTCAGAGGCCAGGGTCAGAGTTCCTATCTTCACACTATGAAACGGACAATGGCACTGCGGGTCAATAGCAATGAACACATTACAGCTGAAGTCATAAGGATGACAGATAAAGTAGGTGAAAGGAACGAATAGTTTTCTCACATGCACTTTACTTCAAGTTTACTTCAAGATCCTTTAATTTGTTCATGTCGGTTACATAATTTTTTTTTTCTGGGTTTGTTATGTGTTTTACCTGTAAACGTTGCCTGTAGTTAGTAGCAGAACATCCAGAAGAAACTCACTCAGGCACAGGAAGACTCATGCAAACTCCAAACATGATCCAACCCAGGACCTTCTTGCAGTGAGGCATGAGTGCTCCCCACTCCACCACCTTTCTGATAGCAAGTAATGCAGCTAAATATTTTTGCTAACATGTAATAAGCACCTGAAATAAAACTGAGCACTGATTGTCACCTGAACCTGAAACAAAATGGAATCACAATGCTTAAACTCCATCCATTTTCTTCCCCTTAATCCATTTCTGGGTCGGGTGCGTGGCAGTCAGAGCTGCACCCAGTACACATAACACCAGCCCCTCACTGATCCTCCTGCAGGTGGTGAGTCCACAGGAGCTGAGATCTTCCAGCGGGGGATTTTTGGGCAAAGTAGGGTTAAGTGTCTTGCCCAAGGACACAACGACAGCAGTCATCAGTGGGAGTCGGGAAGTGGGTCTCGTGGTGGATTTGAACCTGCTCTACCAACTGAGACACTGTCGCCCCCACAATGCTTAAACTGATTTATTTATTTAAACTTTGATTTTCACAAAGTTCCTGCAGTAACTGTTAATCATTCTTGTTTTGAGAATGAATGATTTGGGCTTTCTCAAAACAAACATCCCCCAGAACTGCCCGGGGTTTATATTATTTTCTAACATTTGTAGTTGCTCTGCCACAGTTCTTTCCCACAATATTTGTCATTAATTTGACCACGCCTGTATGTGTTAAGAGCAGCCAGCAGAGGGCGACACTTGATCAGAGCAGTGACCTGAGCAGCAGCTACATTGTTGGTATTCAGGACAGACTTGCAAATATATATTGTGTTCATGTGTATATTTCTGTTTTATAGGTACTTGAAATATCTGACAAAGAAGTACCTGAAGAAAAACAATCTCAGAGACTGGTTGCGTGTTGTGGCCAACACTAAGGAGAGCTATGAGCTGCGCTACTTCCAAATCAACCAAGACGAAGAAGAGGAGGAGGAGGATTAAACCTGGCATTCCTTTTAATAAATATGTCTCTGGAGAAAAGGAAATGTGTCAAATTTGTGTGTTCAAGTTGAGGGGAAGGGATGGAATGTCTGTCATAAAATGGGTTTCTTGACACAGATGGACAAAGTGAATTTGACCTGTTAATTATCAAGTGGGAATACTTCATCAGTCAAATGGAAGGGTTGAACTAGAAAAAAAGTGTATTCAAGTTAAAATGTTTTATTTTAATCAATATTTATGCTGTGTTCTCATGCCTGAGCGAGGTTTGACAAAGAACTTACAATAATTTGCTGCATAAAGGGCTCTAAAAAAATACCATTTAGAAGAAATGTACTTGTTTCAAGTAAAAATATCTGCTTGTGGATCATGATTGTTCAACTTAAGATATCTTGGAACAAAACCAAATGTTACATATACAAGTAATATCTTTATCTTCAGCCTGCATGAGTCCAAAAACGGCATGAGATATATGCATGTAAATTACATAGCATGCATTGAAAGTATAGACATTTTCACTTTTTGCAGTGAAGGTTTTAAAATACCACATTTAGACATGTGGAGACATTTTAATTCAAACCCCCTAGAGACTTCTTCATCCACATCCAATTCCCTTGAAACTTACCAAAGCTCTGGATTTTATTTTAGAAAAGGGTCATTTATCTTGTGCTGTTTGCAACTCATTCCTGCTCTTTAGTAACCGTTTGATGCAACACTGAAATTTCCCCTCTGTGGTACGAATAAAGCATCTCTAAATCTTAATCTGTAAACCCCAAAGCCTCTACACGCATTGTAAAGCGGCAGTTCGAGCCAGAGGAAAGTTTTTAAGCTCGTGCTCTCCTCTTCTGTTTTTCAATGGCAAAAGTCGTGCGACCAAAGACGACAGGCGCAGGACCGACGCACGACTCCGCAGCACGCGTCTTCCCCCATCCTTTCACAATAACTAGTCAAAGTCACAACTAGGAAAACGCACTAACCACTAACTAGTTGTGGATGAAATTATGGGATGTATCGTCATGGCAACAGACCAGACGTCACTATCTGGGCATGTGTGTTCCGTTTTTGTCTTTAATTTTTCAGACTGCAGGACCTGGATAGAAATCAGATGAAAAAAAGAAAAAAAAAACTGGAATAATATGCTAGTTTTCAAGAAATTGTCTGAAGCCACCACAACAAAAAAAGAGCAGCGAGAGGCTTTGCTTTTGTGGATGAAGGCAGACGCAGAGCCGCGGCGTCTGGAGGGTTAACTTTTCTCTTCCTAAAAGGGTTTTTTGGGGGGCTATGAGATAAAGATGCCGGGGTCGCTGAGTAATGAAGACGAGGGACCAGACGACATGGATTTTGAAGACGATATGCCAGGTGAGGGAAGCAGGGGGGGGAGGCGGGGTGTCCTTCACATTATTATTGCGCCGCTGCGTCTTGAATGCAGGGAAAAGGGCTTGTCCTGTTCTGGAGACCTCAGACTTGTGGGGGAAGAAGGAGGAGGAGGGTGAGGGTACGAAAAAAAAAAAAAAAAAAGCACAGTCATACTATTAGAACCAGGTGTTTTTTTTTTTGTCAACCTTCTATATACATGGGGGTTTCGCATCTAAGTTGGGGAGGGAATATCGCTGCCTGTTTTTTTATTTTAGGGGAAGCGTAGAAGCGATCCGTGCATGGTCCAGTCATGTATGCGTGAATAGCCTCTATATCTATCCGCATAATTATGATCACATTGATTAGGGACATATCTGCCTGTTTCCCAGCGCGAACGCCCTTGTTATGGTGTCGGTAAGAAGCGCGTGTCGCCATTCTTGTGCGTCTTCTTGTGCTTCTGTCTGGTCGGCTCCGGAACAACATCCCCTGGTCACGTTGTGGTGGTGTTGCGAAAAAACTTGGCCGCAGAGGTGTTGAAGCCACGTGTTTGAGGCTACTCTTGTATCACCATGCATCCAATCTGCAAACAGCTATATAGTTTGATTATAGTGCCCCGCTTTCCCTTCCTTCCTTCCCCCCATCCTTCTCCTATGTTGAATTAATACCCAGCCATTAGAAGATTAACTAATCAATATGTCTAATCAGCTGGGGAAATCCATTCTTTGGCCTGTTGCTATCCTGATTGGCTTTTTATCAATTAAGAACTCACTTCTAAGCATAAGCAGTGTGTTCAATTCAATGCTTTATTACATAGTCTGGGTCCAAGTTAAACACACAAACACACATATACAATGGGCATGCAAGTGTGATTAAACTTACCAGCATTTCTGTTATATTTAAATTCATATTATTTATTTATTCTATCTTTTTTACAGCATAGCACACTCAAGGGTGCACTGAACATATGTAATTTAAAAATCCAATGAGAATAATAATGCACACTTATTTAGACAGTGTTACTTCAGGACTGGCCCATGCAATTTCAACACATTTCAGCATTTTTGAATCCAGTTTCTTTGAGCATAGAGACACATTACCCCTGACAGTAACAAGGGCAGATCTGATAATATATGTGCCATGAATACTAATAAGCTTATTGCACACACAATCTCCATTCCAACTTCTATTCCACAACACAATGAATAACCTTTTACCGCTGCTTCGTTATAGCCCCGAGATGAAGCATTAGTTTGTTTCACGTTTCATAAGGATGTCATCATTTCCTCATTGCCTCTAGTTCAATTTATTTCAATTAAATGTATTTTTGTATAGCCCTAAATCACAACAGTAGTTATCTGGGAGGATTTTACAAAACCGTTGAATTTGCCAATACAGAGAATCAAATAAAGAAGAAATGCAATGATAGAAAACCCATTAGGGACAGAAGACCAATGTCCATAAATGTAGTTGAATATTGAGTGTCCTGAATCTTCACCACTGTTCTTGTATTAGATTCTCCAGCATCAAGGCAAGGAAAAACGTTAATACCCGGTGGGAAAAAATGAAATTAGTGAAAGTAATTAAGCCACTGTCATTGAAAGTCCACTCTTTGACCTCAGTTGAATGCATCATACTGAAAGATAAGGTCACACTTCCCCTGAATCCTGAATATGACGCCCCCACTCAAATAAAAAAACAAAAAAATGACGAAATCCCCACAAGCTCGCCGTAAAAGCGTTGATTCTCTTTGACATATAAAATGGCCTAATTCCTTCTGTTTCACCACACTCTCCCAAACTCAATGGTTTTTGTTCTAAGTTCAAATTAAGAAATATCGTCTTGGGCTTTTGTGTTGCTGCTTTAATGTTGTCCCCAATTGGGTAGAGATCTATTTTTGGATTCCTCTCTGTGAAAGTTGACACCATTTCTTTTCATGGTATACTTGGAAATGTATTAGTTTCAAAGCCTTTTTTTGAATATCATCCTTGCCCTATGTCTATTCCCTGATAGATGCAAAGACAGGCAGAAGATTGAATTTCCCAATGACTGATAATACATTTCCATAATACCTCTCCGGTCTTGAACTATACGCACTGAAATCAATAGAGAGAGAGAAAGAGAAAAAAAGCCTTGGTGCAGTCTGCTTTCCTGCCATGCAACCCGTGCAACATTAAATGGGTTTTCTGTTTCAAGCCTGCAGTGTTTGTGCAGACATTGGTTTAAAGTACAAACAGCATAATTAAGTTCAGTTAATCAAAGAACCCGAAATAGGCTTTAATTTGGCACAATACATGTTTACTACTTTTGTTGGTAAACGGCTCAACTTTAATTAGTTCGTTGCAAATTGGTGTAATTTTAATTTAGTACGACTGAGTTGTTTTTGTACGTCAGCTTGGGTTTCTCATTCCAGTTTCTGTCATTGCGTTGGTTCAGAGGTTCATTTTAGGGTGCATGTTGATTAGATGGCCACAAACCCTGGCTAAATACATATTAATCAATTTAAACTTTCTGTTTTAATGTATACTATATCATCAAGCAATTCACCAAGGATTGGTGTGACGATTCGATAGTATCGCAATATTTGGGCTACAATTCAAGATTATTACGATTCTTAACATATTGTGATGCAGCAAGTATGACGATTAACGTCTCATAATATTTAAAGGCTTTAAAAACAATGAGGAAAATAAGATTGCTCAACTCATATGTCACATTTATTATGGTCTGAACATTAATCGAAGTGCAAAAACTTAGAAGGGTGTTATCCTCGGACATTCAGGACATAGGACCTTATTACGCAAATGTAAATTACAACAATGAATTCAGAGAAAGAATAAACATGAAACAGATTCTTTATTTTTCTGTATAAATTAAATATGGAACAGAACCGATTTTTTTCCCCCACCACTATTTCGCATTCCTTTTGACTGAGAGCGGACCACATTACTACTCCCCTCGATATGTTGTAATATACCCACAGCGAGAAATGAGCAGGTACTGTAGAGGTGCTGGATTTCCCACCGTTTAGTTGTGTGTGTGATTGTGGGGGACACCTCCTGCTCGCTGCTAAATAGAGGATAAGTGTCTGGTGAGTTGTGCGTCTACCACCGAGGAATCCCTTTCACTCCAGCAGCCCAGGGGAGTGGCCCACTGCAGGCTAAGAGCTGATTGACTCTGATCTCAGCTCCAGTCTCTCTGCGGACGCTCAGATGAAAACATTGCACACAAACAACCAAGCTCCTCTTCAGATGAAAACATTGCACACAAACAACCAAGCTCCTCTTCTTTTTTTGATGATTTCCTGTTTTTTCTTTACTCCCTGTTACCTCACCTGACTCCTTTGTGACCCGCTGGAGTGCGCTCGGCAGGCACAGGCGCGGTGATACAGAGCAGCAAGTTACCGTTTGGTCCTGGTACGCATTAAAGCAGACATGTCCAAACCAGTGGGAACAAAGTCTGTAATCTGACTCCTTGCCGGTGGTGGTGTACAGGAAACAGAATTATCCACTGAATTCTTAAGACGCCTTCTTTCCTCTCCACAATAGTTGGTTGGCAGGATGGTCCAAAAGTTGGCTCGCTAAGTTCTAGATGTGAGTTCTTAATGCTGAGGAGTTTTTTTTTTTGGACCAGCCCAGTTTAGCCGCTGTGGACTTTTGAATGCAGTTGTTGAATGAATGAGGATTGTGGTTTCCTGTGGAAGGGGCTACTCGCGGCCACTTAAAAAGATGGCAGGAAGGAAAAGTAATGACACATAAGTTTCAACTGCTTCTGTTAATTATTACAGTCTATGGTCCAAACTAAGGCCTGCGTGCTAATTGGTCATAATATGTGGCCCTCTACATTGCTAACCTCACAGTGGCCCTCATTTATGAAACTCGCGCAGAAAAGGGTGTACATTTTGGGTGTATATTCCAAATACGTAAGAGCCAACGTCGGATTTATGAAGGTGTGAGATCCAACTTTTTCTGATGCGCGAATTCAAATTTTGAAACATGATGCTCATTGAAAATGCAGCTTATAATTTGGCCAGACTGGGATTTTTTTATTGTTGTCCAAATCTTGAATTTCATGCCTGTTTTGGCGAGTTATGATGAAGGTTGAGATGGGTGTAAAATGTACACCACCTCCTGACCTGGCGTATATTTTGTGCGTACCGTACGGCCACCTCCAAATTGATAAATGCCGAAAAGCGTAATTTTTTTTGCGTATGCCTCATTTACACCCTGATTTGGCCATACGCAAGTTTCATAAATGAGGGCCACTGTCATGGAATCATCCAGCCAACTGCTAGAGTTCAGCTGTAAATTTGTTTTCGTAATAACATTTGATAAATGGAGCTGGTGAGATCAGCCAACTTCAGCTCCATCATAGCATAACTTATAAAGCTCAGAACATCATAAATCCTGTCAAAACAATTTTAAAATCCGGTTTGTTGGCCCCTGATTCTTCTCTTTATTATTATTATTATTGTTAAAACGTTTTGGACCCCTGCATTAAAGGAACCAGGTCTCCTCAGTAAACCACATCCCGTCGGCAAGAAAGCTCTTGTCTCATGTCTCGCCAGCGTAACATCCGTGAATGGTACTAGTATGGGCACAGTGGGGATCGTGGGAGCTATAGAGAGGTTCAGCGAGGCTCAGTATGAACGTCCTGGGTTCGATTCCACCTCCAGAACTTTTGGTGTAGAGTTTGCTTGTTCCCCCCGTGTCTGCATAGATTTCCTCCTGATGCTCTGGTTTCCTCTGGGTGCTTTGGTTTCCCCTACAACTAAAAACATGTGCAATAGGTCTAGCATTGGGCCTCCTGTATATTGACCCCGCTCCCATCTCTGTTTGATTATTTATAAGATTATTAACTACTAAGGTCTCACATTCAATAATCATCAATAACTTTTCATATTGTGAAGATAGAGAGGACCGCCTTCACTCAAAAAGCACAGACCACAGCCCACAAATAGTACATGAAATAAAACATATACTCAGGGCTACAATTAGAGCTTGCTCACAAAATGCATAAACAATATTCAGCATGTCATATCCCAATTGGATTTCTTGTGTACATTTTGTCTCGGATCTTCACAATGGCTTTTTTGTCTTGTGCTTTTTCCCAAGATGAAGACGATGAGTCACGGCGCAGCATCGTCCCTCTCACTCCGCTTACCAGCTTCTTCACTGATGACGATTCTCTCAAACAACAGAAGCCCAAGAAGGCCAAAAACATGAAAGAGGGCAAAATGCTTAAAGTTAAAAAGAGAAAGAAGGAGGTAAGTTGGTACTTCACACACTGACCCACTCACACAAGCTTGGCTCTCACATGCTACACACCAGGCTTGGCTTTGTCACTATGGCCTCAATCATGTGCTGTTAAAATCCAATTGTTTGGTTTAATCCTTTTTAACACCACATTTCAAGTCGTGCTTTTTGTCTTTCCCAATTGAAGGGAAAGACCAAAGTTTCCCCTATTCTTATTGTGGGACAGTGCAATCTTTCTGCTGGGAGTTTGTCACCTGTTTATGGAGACGTTATGCACCTAGTAGGAAAACAAGTTCCAGGGAGTAACTATACATAGTTTTCCTGTGACGTCACGAAGCACCTGTATGTTTTTCGTCGGCCATATTGGATGGGTTATTTATCATCGGAGCGGCCGCCGCTCAGTGGTACTGTCTGGGACGGACATGGTTTGAGCAAATGAGAGCGGCTAAAGAGAGGAAGAGGAGTGTGTGTCTGCGTGTGTGTGTGAGCTACACGCATATGGCTGAGCGATGAAGATGGCGGAGACCGTGCGTCCTCTGTGTGAGCGCCGGGTGCAAAGTGAAGCAGACGGGGGAAAACGGCTATTTCGCTCCGAGGGTAAAGTTTCTATTACAGTTTTGCTTTAACATGTCTTTAGAACTGGTACTGTCCGTGGCATGGGCGCATTTGGCAAAAATGACAAGGTGTGCGTCTGTGTGTTTCTTGCGCGCACGTTTCTGCAATTGTGAAAGAAGTTGTAAACAATTGCGCGTGACTACTTTTCGTAAAGGTGTGAATTAACAATTTACGGGGATTGTTGATACTTTACTATTTGCCTCATTCCTCATCACAAAGAGTATGCATGCGCTTTACAGTGACGTTGATGAATACTGGAACTTAGAAGCCCACTAACATTGATTATAACAGAGGCCAAGTGTGTGGCATAAACACAGATTGGTGAAAACAGGCTGATATAGAGTGGATCTTGCTTGTGCTGTGAGTGTGTGTATGCGGTGTGTGTCAAGGGAGCTTGAGGGGGGAGTGTGTTTGTCTGTGTGTGTGAGTGTATGAGTGTGTGTGAATTGGTTGTAAGCCTCGAGACCCTTGTATGACTTCAACTGATCCAGTGAATAAGCACTCGTGGAATTTATCAGAAAGTTTACAATATACGTGACACACGCCCACGAATTTATGTCGCTTGTCCAAAGGTTTTTATCCAGCACATACGGGTCTTGTTGGCCAATCAGTTGACATTTTCCATCGTATCGTAATCTTGATACCTGATCTAACGATAGCCTGTAAGCTGCCAAAGTTTTAGTCGCCATAACAATTGAAATAGCACGAAGTAACTGGAGCAGAGCAATGTAAACATGTGACGAATACCCATCCAATATGGCGGACACTTCGCGCCATGCCCGGATGTTAGTCACGTGATCGTATCTATGTATAGACCATGAACTAAAATGAAAATCACTCATAAATAATATTATAAATACACTGTCCAAAGTATACGCCAATTAAAGGTGCAGTAAGTGACTGTGTTAGCTTAGCCGTAGCACCAACTCAAAACCACGCCCCCCTCCCGTCGCCTCTCCACCAAACCAAACATCCAGCATTTTCTTTTTTTTGTCACAACAGGGAGAGTGGGCGGCAAACCTGAAATTGGCATTTTCTGTTCAGCCCTTTTAGGTTTTAGAAAATCCAATAACTCCATGGATAACTCAGGTGTGTGCACTCCAAGCGGTGATCCAAGATGGCGCCCTATTCAAATGAATGGTTTGTGCTCAGTAGCGCATGGGACTTCATGGAGACCGGGAGATTAGCTAAACTCGCCTATATTTGGGCATCGTCTGGTCGTCCCGGTTCTGCGCAGTGGATTAGCGCAAAGAGATATCTGCCATAATGCGTTGCGCCAAACGTGCGTGTGTGGCTTTCATGCACGCGCACAGAGGGGCTCGGCCGCGCTCTGACCAATCAGAGCTGCTCATCAGAGCAGCTGAGGAGCGGAGCCAGAGCGGGAAGGCAGGGAGCAGACTTTGTTGCAGTAAAGTGTGGATTTAAAGAAAACCGAAGGATTTAAGAAGAAAAAAAGTTCAGGATGACAAGGGACACTAAAATCCCCACAAAATCCGATCTTTATGAAAGCTGTAGGTTCTCTGTCAGCTGAGGTCGTGCTGTTTTAATTTACATTGAGTTCTATGGGACTTTTTTCTGGGTAGCCCTCGTGAATTCAGTCTTAGGTACCACGGGCGCCCCCTGTGCCCATGGGTGGGACAGCTGTAAGCTAGTAATACCCTATCCAGTTATTATTATAGATCCATGGTGCACTCGCGAGAAACAGGAAGAGGGTGAAGGGGGGTAAACGCATCTCATTGGTTGGGATGAACGAGCCCCATTGGTTTATTTTTATCAGTCCGCTCCAAAATGTTTTTTATTAATTTTTGGAGACTATCCATTACTATTTGAAAGCAGATAATAACTTAACTACTATTAGGTTTTTAAGGATGTTTTCCCACAATACTTGAAACTGACTGCAGCCAGTTGAGGGGTCTGCTGGACCTGTGTGGGGCCCTGTGTGGGGCATGTGTTCCGGGCATGTCCCACTGCGAGGAGACCAGGGGAAGACCCAGGACACGTTGAAGGGACTGCGTCTCTCAGCTGGCCTGGGAACGCCTCAGGATTCCCCCAGATGAGCTGGAGGTAGCGCGTGTGGAGAGGGAAGTCTGGGCGTGGAAAACAATGCAGTAGATGATGCTAGTTGAATGTGGTCCATCTCAGGGTGACAGTGTCAGCTTGGGGCACATTGGGTCAGACTAGAGCTTGTTTGTGCAGTGGAGCTGGGAGTGGGGTAGAGGAGGAGGTGAAGGAGGTGGTGGAGGTGATGGTGGCAGGTCAGGTCTGTTTAAACCCATAACTGTGAGGACAGAGCTGAAGACAGATTTTCACATTCTTTTGAGATGCTTTTAATGTTTCTGGCATTTAGAAGTTTGACTGCCACACGCATTAGCACTGCATGGCGTAGAACGTACTGAACTCAATAAAATACTGGAAATGCTTTGTCTATTGTTGGAAGGAATGTAAGATGAAGTACTAACCAGTCCCTGTCCTGCTTAGCTTCATCTGACGGGATGTATCTTAATTTGAGCACATTCTGACTGCTATTCATAAGTTTCAATCTTATCATTATTATTACTATTATTATTGACCATTATTATTGCTAGCTATATACCTTTATCCTTAAACTATTTTATGTAAATGTATGTATTTGTTTATAGTCTTGTTTACCTCCTTTTTATTGATAGTTGGTCTGATCACCCAACTTAAATGTTCCCCTTGCGTGCCTTGTGTTAGGTCAGTTTTTGTCATGTTCAGTTGCTCATTTGATTTTGGCCTTGTTTATTTGTATTGTTTGACACATTTTTTGGCTAATTAAAAAGCCTCATTATGAATCAGACTCAGACCAAACGGGATCTTGTGCATCATGGCGTGGTTGTTTATTCACAAAATGGTAGTTGATTCAGTTCTTTCAATCTTTCCAGGTTTTTTCAGTTGTCTCAGTTTTTTCGGACAGAACAAAGGCAGGGCATGATTTATAAAGTCATTGTTACGTCACACATCGAAAGACATACGTGTCACTTCAGAGACACTCAGAGCGTATCATTGTCATAACATGGATACACAATCAGAGTCCTTGTAGAGTCTTGCAGCTGTCCACCTGCTAGGCCATATAGCTATCTAATCCTAATACAGTTTTGCTTGTTTCCTGCTGCACCATCAGTCCCATACAATGGCGTTGTCCTATCGGAAAATCTTGTTTTTAAGACAGTCAGAATGTGCTCGATTCACTCAATTCAAGCAGTCATAACTTCATATGTTATCATTTTTATTGCAGTGTATATAAAACCGCATTGTCATTATCATAATTTTCAACACATCCACCCTGTATGTACTCGGTTGTGCTAAGCTGTCCTCTGAGTATTTCTGCTTGTTGTGTGGAAAACTCAGATTGGGCCAAGATCTCTCCCTCCGTTGGCCGGAGAAGCGAGCTTTGGCTGGCCTTTTCCTGCTGCTGGTAAACACTGAGCTCTGGGTCTCACTGCAGGGCTAATGACGGGGGACTCCCTCTGACACGCTCCACTCTCACAAGCTGCTCTCTCCTCTCTCGCCTCACCTGACTTTGCCCTGACCGCGCCACACAAGACTGCTCATTCGGCCGCGCTCCTGCCTCTTTTGTTTTGGCTCCGCTTCTCACCGTTATTAGCGGGGTTTGTTTGTCTCCAATGAACTCCCCAGTGGTGTTTGTCAAGCCCCAGACGGAGGTCAATTGGGGTCTGAGTCGGGCACTTGTGCGCTTGTTTTGGAGTCGGAGAGCAGATGAATTGCATTATGTGAAGTCCTAAAGATATGTTGTTAAATAATTGAAGATGCCGAAGACAATGCATTAACCGTGTTGCCTATTTATGCGGTGGATTCAGATTCATGTTATTTGCCAGTTTCAGCCAAAAACTACATTGGAATATTTGTGCAAAAATACCCAGTGTGAACATCAGACAACAGAACACTAAAGACAGAAAAAACATGTCATTGCCAGACTACAAGCCGCAAAATTTCTTCTAGTTTTTTTTTTTTTTTTAACCCTGTGGCTTATTTAGCGATGTGGCAGTATTTTTATTGTGGTCAAGTTTTTAGAGTAGAGTTTACGGATTTGTCAGGGTTTATTTTTATGTCATGTTTTATTTTGTAATTTGTCATCCTCTATCTTCATTAGTTCTACTTCCTGTTGTGTATCTGTGTCTTGCTAGTTTTGTGTACTTAAACCCTGTGTGTTCCTCAACCCCGTCATTGTCATTTCAACATCTTGTTTAGTTCTTGTCGTCGTCTCCTGTTTGGTTACTTTTACTCGATTTTTTATTCTGATTTATGCCTTGTTCTTTGGTTCTTTTTTTGCAGTCCTTTCCTTTTTTGGGATTATTATTTTGACCCCATCCAGTTTTAGTCGTGATTGGACGCTGTAAAAATAGATTACACCTCT